GTTAGAGATAAGCTTAAAAAACAGCTTATTCCATCCTGTCCCGTTCCATCTTGTCCCGTTCCATCCTGTCCCATATGTTTCCATCCTGTCCCATGTCCCAGTTTAGTGGGACAGAGTGGAAAACTGTTACAACTGAGACTTGCTTGTTTAAGCCCTGTAGGCGCTCTTTTTTACCGATTTAAGTGAAACTTGGTATCCGGGGGTATTTTTCAATGGGGAACTCGAATTTTTAGTCGAATTTTGAAAATTCGAAAATCCAAGATGGCGGACATGGCCTAAAATGCTATCGCAGCGCCTAATCAACTGAGACTTGTTTGTTTAAGCCCTGTAGGCGCTCTTTTCGACCGATTTAATTGAAACTTGGTACACTGAGGTATTTTTCAATGGGGAACTCGAATTTTTAGTCGAATTTTGAAAATTCGAAAATCCAAGATGGCGGACATGGCCTAAAATGCTATCTCAACGCTTAATCAATCGATTTACGCAAAACTTGGTACTCGGCGGTATTTTTGAACGGGAAACTCGAATTTTCAGTCGAATTTTGAAAATTCTAAAATCCAAGATGGCGGACATGACCTAAAATGCTATCGCAGCGCCTAATCAACTGAGACTTGTTTGTTTAAGCCCTGTAGGCGCTCTTTTCGACCGATTTAATTGAAACTTGGTACACGGAGGTATTTTTCAATGGGGAACTCGAATTTTTAGTCGAATTTTGAAAATTCGAAAATCCAAGATGGCGGACATGGCCTAAAATGCTATCTCAACGCCTAATCCATCGATTTACGCAAAACTTGGTACTCGGGGGTATTTTTGAACGGGAAACTCGAATTTTCAGTCGAATTTTCAAAATTCGAAAATCCAAGATGGCGGACGTGGCCTAAAATGCAGTCTCAGCACCTAATCAGTCGATTAAAGTGAAACTTGGTACCCGGGGGTACTTTCCAATGGGGAACTCGAATTTTCAGTCGAATTTTGAAAATTCTAAAATCCAAGATGGTGGACATGACCTAAAATGCTATCTCAGAGTCAAATAAATCGATTTACGCGAAACTTGGTACCCATGCGCCGCGGGTATTTTTGAGTGGGGAACTCGAATTTTAGTTAAATTTCCGAGATTCGAAAATCTAAGATGGTGGCCGTGGCTTAAAACACTATTTCGGTGACTAATTAATTGATTTTAATGAAACTGGACCGGAAAACCATGGTATAAGGAAAAGAAAGGAAATAATAGGGGTGCAATAGGGTTTCTTATGTATCTTAGGCTACGAAATCGAAAAATTCCTGTGTTTTTTCCATCGTGCACAGACTCTCCCCGAAAATTGACTCTTCTGGAAAAGCTAGATTTTTAAGGAAAATTCCGATTTCTCCGGAAAAATTCCGAACTTTCCCAGGATAAATCGCATCAATACAGGTAAATGGAGGTGTTCTCCAGAATCAGCGCCAAAAATCTACTCTGAAACCATTGGCAAATCTTCGGAAAATCAAAAATCAAAAAAAAAAAAGTCGACCGGTGTAATTGTTAAATGTAAGTCCTCAAACTTTTCCTGGCTTTATTACCACTTCAGCGGGCACACGCCCACTCGAAGTTTTAAAATTCGGTGTTTTTGATCCATTTTGCATTGCAATATTCCAAGAAATAATAGCTTCTTCTCGTGTGAAACGAAAACAGTGCGCATTTTGATAAACAGACGGAACTGTCTAAAAGACAAGCAGAATAAGCTCCAGATATCTTTCATGACGGATGAATTTTTTCTTAATTTTTTTGGCTCTGCAAGATATGAAAGGGTTACATGTTTTCAATTTAGTGCTCGACGATGCTTTTATGACAATTGTGTTCAATTTTTAATTAAAAGTATTATATGTCACCTCTGAGATGAAAATTTAGGAAATCAGCCAAAATTACGGCAAATTTTGGGAAATGATACACTTGACGGTGGAAATTCGGGTTTAAGCCCAACTATTAAGCTCGACGAGCTATTTTTCCTAAGTCTACACCTAATGATAGTCAAAATAAAGTTTGGTTTGCCCAAAAATTCAGAAAAAAATTTTGGGAGGAAATAGAACCTGGAATTTGACCCTTATTTGAATTCACCCACCTGTGCACGATACTGAGTCGGACGAATTTATTGTAATTATTGTTATCCATTGTAATTATTCCAACTATTCCTCAGAAAGACAGACATGGCAGTGAAGGCTTATTCAGTGAAGATTAATTCTCCGCGTGTATTTTGGAACATATACCAGGTTATACAGCATCGTATTATCGAATTAATTCCTAACAGATAGAAGTAGCCCACAAATAATGCACCTTGTGAAAAAAGACCAGACACGAAATTCAAGTTCAATTGAAAATATGATGCGCATAAACAGTGCAAAGAAAACTCGAGTTTCGACTTATCTCGGTTTCGAGCCTCGCATAAGATTAGCTGTAGGTACGACAATACCTCCACGGAGAGGGAGGGGGAGCGCACATGGGCAGATTTTGCAAAAAAGGATTAGGTATTGAGTTTAGAAGTTCATCTCTCTCTCCCCCTTTGCAGTACCAAAACGTACTGAATGAATGTTCACCTTTGTAACTATATATTAACAGACTTGCATTAACTCCTTGCAAACACGTAACTCAATCATCGTTTCTATGTTAACTCTCCGTGTGAGACCAAATAGGAGGCAAAGTTTTGCAGTTAGATAATTGATTCAATATCATTTTACAAAATTTATTTAGGATTCTTTGTTTTTTAGTGGTAAAACATGGACGGAACTCCGCAGAACGACCCCAAGGTTCTGAAAGTTGTTGTCACTTCTTTGACGAATCAACTTCAAGCAACGACGAGATCTCTAATTTCCGTCTTAGGAGCAAGTTCATCCGCGATTCCCTCTAGATCGGGTGTACCTTGCCCCAGGAACCTGAATGTTATCCCTAGCGCTGTTTTCCAGCAGGGAAATTCTTTGTTATCCAGATTAGTCCAAAACTCCACATTTTCCTTTAACATTAACCTACCACATTCACCTTTTTTCCGAAGAATTTGATTCGTTAAATCAATAATTAACTGTGGTTGAATTGTCGCGATGCATTACGTTGCAACTCCAGACAGGGAGAAACGGTCATACTCAAGTAGGAGATAACGTGTTCGTACTTTGAAATTTCCCTTGATGTATGGATGAGTGGGTAACAGAGGTGAGAGACTTGGGCAGTATTAACCGGTTTACCCACTGAAATGCATTTAGCCGGAAAGACATATAAACATTGGTCAATATTTGTGATTTGGGGATCTTTAAATTGATCAAAAATTGATGAATTTAAATAAGCAAAGTATGATCACATGAATCATCCTACGAGCATCATCCACAGATTTAAGGTGTGTAAAAATACGTAAATTTAAACAAAAAGAGAATAAAAATTCACTCAGACGTTACCTGTCAACACATTTGATTCGGTCATTACTTCGGGAGGGTTTGTTCCGATGCGTCGTTTCTTCATCATAAATTTTGGAAAGGTTGGAAATAAAACAAAGAAGTATTACAAAAGTAGAGGTGAGTATTTCCGCAAAAGCGGCCCATTCTTTCGTAAACAGTCCCTAGAAATGAGGGCTTTCTTCAGTTTTATGTGGTTCTAATCAGCGTTAATTAATAAACAGCCACAAAAAATTCTGCTTTATTCCTATTTTATCCGTTTCAATATTGTTTCTAACTTTCGTAATTTTATGTTTTTATTCTGAGTAAATCGAGATTCTCTTTATGTAACTGCTTACGTCGTCTTTATATTCACCTTAGTGCAACCAAGAAGAAAAGCTATTTTTGATTTGGTAGTGTAACCAGAAATATGCCCTTCGAAAAACATATTAAGATCATTGAATCTGTCTAGTGAATGTATGAAGAACACCTACAAGAAGCTGTTATTACGGACACCCCTGAAAATGGCTATACTTTAAAAGTAAACCGTCCACACTCGAAACTCATTTTGATACCTAGTCTTTAGTGATCTCATCCTTTAATGAATTATACTCACATTCCTTTGTTATTACCTACACTATTTAACCACATACAATGTGGTATTTTTTAAAAGTTCCTCTTTTTTGCTTATATTTTTATAAATGAAAGTTAAGTATATATGTCCTTGACGTCAGGATAAGGTAGTTCTCGTAATTTTTTTGACTAATTCGTTGTAACTTAATAGCACAAGACGGTTTTTTCCATATATATGTATGTGTCACCATTCAATCAGGATGTGTCAGAAAAAATTGAAGCTTTGAATGAGATTTTAGTTTCGTTGAAGTCTAAAATTAACTGGTCGAATCATCAAGAGAAGCTTCAACTTTTGACGATAGCTCCTTCATCGTGGACCACTGCGAAAATTTCAGAAGAGTTAGGAGTCTCAGTTCATGCTGTAAAAATTCTCGCTGTCCTTCCGCCGAAGTGTCCAGCGGACTCCGGTGGAAGAAGGACGCGCGCTGCGCGCTGCCTCGCTCCGTCTCCGTCTAGATCGTAAGGTTGTAAGGGGTAAAGGGAAGCGTTTATCACTTGATCTAGCCTTTAGTTCCGTTTTCGTGTGCTTTGTTCGTTTATCCTTTGGCTCTTTTCTTTTCTCTGCAGGGTTTTTAATTGAATTAGGGTACTAAGTAGGGTTGTATAGGGATATAATTGTGGGTGTAATATAGTAAATCGTAAGGGTGCAAATTATCGTTATTTTCTTCAGTGTTTCTCTGTTCTGTGGGGCAAAATTTTCGTAAAATGGAAATACACGCGTCGTCCCATGGAAGGTGGCTGGGGGGATTCATGTATAGGAGGGGGGCGGGAACAGATTTGAGAGTATTTTGCAATCCGGGGGCAAAATTTAACGAAGCAGTCAGACACGTTAGGCCCAGGAGGCGTGTGGTAACCGTCATAGCAGGGGGGGATGACGTGAATATGGAGCGTAGTGCAAAGGAGATCGTTGACCCCATAAAAATTGAAGAAATCAAAGCCGAAGCCACAACAAGAAATGGATATGTAATCTGGGTGGAATTATTCCCGCGGTTCGACCAGGGGGTGGATTTTAATAGGAAAGTCAGGGAAGTGAGTAAAAGAATGGGGAAAAAATTTATTAGAGGGAGAACCGCGGAAACGCAAATCTTGTTGTTGTTGTTGTTGTTGTTGTTGTTGTCCCTCCGCCGAAAGAAGGCAAAAAAATTAGGAGGCAATTAAAAAGGAATTAAAAAGGAAGCTACGACAAGTCTCGTCATTGAATATTATGAAAGTGACGATAACTCATGGACAATGCCGGGAATTGAAGACCGTATTAGTATTGTATCCGTGTAAAAATGACCCGCCAAGCTAAAATTATAAAAAGTTTTTCGTATAAATGATGACAAAAAAGAAAAAGAAAAGAATGATGTGATTTGTTTCCATTTAGTTTATGTCCATTTTACTTCAGAGACATTTGAAAACTTCTGCAGTGTTTGATAGGATATAGGTATTGATGAACACTAGAGAGATATCTAATTTATAAAATATAATGTAGTTTTTGGATATTTTCATAGTGGAGTTTTACATTTATAGAGGTTCAACATTATTGTTGGTTAACTTTCAGACCTTTATTTAACTTGTCAGCCCTTTTTCTCTTAAACTTTTACAACGTTATTAATTTCTGCCCTATTTGCTTATCAGATCTTTCCCCTGTCCCCCTAAACCCGGGCGTTGATATTCTCAAGATGATTCCGGCAAGCATCCCCTAACCTGCCCTTTTAGTTTCTTATCAGACCTTTGTTATCTCTTTTAGCCCTTTTTTCTTATTAGTTTTGTGAATTTTATTATGTTCATTTTTCCTAATAAACTTTCTGAATTTTAAAAAAAAAAAAAAAAAAAAAAAAAAAAAGGAATGAATTAATCTGTGTCTCATTTAAAAAAAATTGAAATCTTGTTAAATAAACGGAACTATGACATATATTAAAGAAAAAATTTAAAGGATAATTTGTGTTACATTGCAGAAAAATAGCGTTCATTATATTAGACGATTAATTCAAGTTCCTGTTCAGTTTTTTTCCCCCAGATAATTATTGCTCTAGATCCATAAGCCGTTTAGAGGCTGTAATTGTATAATCGTAGATGGATTGGGCACCAAGATTTTCTTTCACACACAAATTTCATAGGATCATAATGGGTTTATATTAGCATCTGAAGAAAGAAAGTTTAGAATTTTAAAAAATCATGTCCTTTAATCATGGAGTTCACGAAACGCATTTTCCAAATGTTGGGCCCTATTTGTTCTTCATCCATTGCGACCACCCGCTTCTATCAGGAACAAGTCTCCGTATTCCAATTTGACTTTCCAATCGTATCAGTCAGTGAGTACTACCTGCAATATTTAAAAAGGAGGCAGAAAATGATCTCGAGGTTCCTTTAGAGGAGAGGTTTATCACTGAAAAAAAAAGGTGCTTGGCTCAAACGTGATGATTCTTGAATTTGCCACCAAGAATCGGTTAATCTTGCCTTTCCTTTGGTTTAATTGTAGCATTAGAGGAAGGAGTATTTGCTAATAGTAATTGAGCATGTTTTTTATTTCGACTAATGTTGGCGCCTGGTTAGTATTGGATATATAAGGTGTATAAGCAAAAAAAAAAAGTTTTTAGCGAACTTGAGAGAGCTTCATGCAGACTTTAAGAAGTAGTACCCCCAAAACCCAATTGGATTCTCAAAATGTTGCGCTCTTAATCCTAGATGGTATGTTCTCGCCGGTGAATCGGGTGCTCACTCAGTGTGTGTTCCTTTCACCAAAATGTTGTTTTGATGTTCGAGGCAGCTGATATAGGCGAAACCTATCAAGATTTCTTCAACAGCCTGGTGTGTGACACAAGTAATCGAGACTGTATGCTCCAGCGGCGTTGTGACAAGTGCCCCAGTGTAGAGGATGGCACAGCTTTATTGAAGTCGGCACTGGAATCGTTATTTGAGGATGAAGCGGAAATCGAATTTTATCAATCGGATTCCAAAAGCTACGTCTACCCTAAAAAGGTGTCACTACACATCGAGGAATTAATAGAGCTTCTAGTGCAACAACTGGAGGCACTACTACCGCACTCCTACGTGGCAAAGGCTAAATCTCTACACTTGAAACATCTAAAGCAGAACCTTTCAAAAGATGAAGTTACAATAATTATCGATTTCAGTGAAAACTACGGCTATATTGTTCAAGACGCCAGTCAAGGTTCCACTGGAACAAAAACGCGAGTACCATTTTTCCCGTTATTCTGCACCATGGAGATAGTGAAAATGCTCTAGTGCCTGTGTCATTGTGTATGATATCAGACGATATGAACCATGAAGTGATCATGGCTTATCAAAAGCACTGCATCGTGACTGACTGTATAAAAAGTGAACATCCAAGAACTAAAAAGCTTCATATAATTTTTCAGATGCTTGGGCTTGCCTACGATTTTCTTAATTAGTTGCGTCACTTCGAAGATTTTCAGCTAGAAGCAGATTGGTCATTTTTCGCAACGTCCCATGGCAAAACTGAACGCGACGGTGTCGAAGAGACTATTAAAAGACTAGCTAGGAAAGCAAGTCTTCAGCGTCCGTACTCCAACCCGATAATGTCTGTGAAAGATGTGTTTGATTTTGCAACAGCTGAGATCCAAAATGTTGGTTAGTTAATGTCGTTGTATTCCAAATGTTGTAAATGTATGTATATTAGATGTAAAAAAATTTGACTTCGTAATCTTTTGTTTCAACTCAAAGAAATCAATAAATTATTATTATTATTATTATTGGCTTTCGCGTTCTGAAGTACGCGGTGGACGGTCTACGAACCAAATTACAAACTAGATCTTTTAACTACTTTGAAAGTTTGTCATCTTTAAAACTCATCATAAAACGAGTTTCAGCCGACCGAACAGCTGCTTTAGTTTATGATTCCAACAAAAATGATAACACATTTTCCAAGATAATGGAGGAGCTGCGTACGAAAATTGTTATGTTGCTTGTTTTTAAGACCAAGATTGGTACTTCGGCGTTGCAGAGGAGAGAACTTCCCCGGCGTCTATTCGACACCGTAAGAGGACGAGGCTACGCCAAAGGCTTCCAAGAACGCAACAGAAAAACTCACATCGCCGAAGGGTAAGAATTACTGGAATATACATGTTACGGCGAAGTACCGCAGTACACCGGTCGGCCGCGCGCCACTCGAGCGCTCTCGCGGAGCGATCTGGAACCTCTTGTACCCGACTACCCAGCTGTTTAGCGTGTGCACGGTGGCTCAGTCGTTCAGACTTCTGAGAAAAAAGTCGGTTATTTATTATTTTAGCTTAATTAATTAATTGTTTTCACAAAATTGATTAAAGAAAGTCACGGAGCTAATCTAGGCAAGTAGTTTGATGTAAGGAAAAGATTATTTAATTGTATATTTAACTTATTGGAGTCGAATGAAGTTGGTCGACGCGTACGGAAGCTAGATGAAACGGATTTGATGGGGTCCCGACCGGTACATCACCGCGGGCATCCCACCAATACGAGTCAAACGCAAAATTAGATCCTTTCTATTGTAGAGCTGTGCACGTGATGAGTAGCACGCTTGCAGTAGAAAGTACAAGTTCTTCTTGTCATGGGTGGCGGTAGCCACCTCCGGACAAAGTCTAAACTCGACAACACTGGAAAGCCTCCAAACGAAATAATTAATTACTTGTGTGACGCGTCCTATTTAGGGTAGCTCCTGTAGTATTAATTTCATGATTTCTCTGATATTGTCCTCGTATTGAAATTTCATTTAAACGACTATTATTTATAAAAAAAAATTGGAAACAGATTGAATTTAATTTAATTAATTTATGGCAAATAAATCTCTTTTAGCGTGTCAGATTCCAAGAGTGCACGTGGTGAGTAGCACCTGGATTTTTGGTCGCTATTTGAATTTATTTTGGAAATATTTATTTTGAATCCTAAATCGACTGTTAGCACCTCTGCGGGCTTCCCGCCTTCTTTTCAAATAAGGAAGCCTCCAGCCCTCTCCGAACCTCAAGCCTGAAGCAATAAACCTCGTATTCGTTCTTCAAGTCCTGGATTATTCATCGCTCTCCCACGAACCCTAACATCGACCATTCAAGATTGAGTGCACGTGGTGAGTAGCACCGGTTGACTGGGAGATTTAAGGTCAAATAAATCATCAGAAAAAATTCATTCGAAAGTTCGAAAAACCTTTTGTGTCCTTTTTACCGTTCCTTTCAAAGTATTTTAAAGGTCAATCCGATCAACTCATTCGTCTTCAATCATCCTAATTTTGATCTCGCATTTAGTTTATTTATTGTTTTGAGGATTTTAAGTTTGTAATTGTGTTTAAGAAATAGTTGTCTTTTCTCGTCAATAAAATTGACTCTAGTATGTTCAAATTTGCTCTCATTATTCCTTCCTGCCAATCCTGTCCTCACCTCAGGAAAATCACCCCCTTTATATTTTTGATTACGCACTTCGAGTGTGTTGGCGCCCGAACCCAGGCGTCCCGACGAGCATCTGGCACCCAAAATTTGTGGCTTGATCTGCTGAAGCTCGATCCTTTCCGGAAGGCTTGCTTTCTGACGATCAGGATCGTACGAGTTCTCACTTTTCCTCGCCACAGGGGGGACTGAAAAACAATGAAGATATGAGTATGTTTCCAGAAAACGAAGAAAAACCGAAGGAAAAAACCGCTGAAGAGGAGCACGGAGCTGTGTGTGTCATATGGCCTTGCCAAAGAAGGTGTAGTCAAAATGTTTGATGA